ATTAAAAAAAATAAAAAGAATCACCTCAGTGCTATTATCAGAAAAAAATTAAACTAGCTGGCAATACTATGTTCTAGCCCTTTAATTCATTATCATAAAATGAACAGTGAAAATAAATTAAGTAACTCTGAAAACAATAAGGAAAAAACCAAGTTGTATACTAGCTAGAATTTAAATCAGCCAAAAACCCCTTCAAATTATTTTATAATCAGCACTAATTCACTATTAAGCTGATAAAAATACATACATGAACATAAACCCCTGAAATTTGGAGTGATTTTTTTTCCTTAAATTGTCAAAATTAGGGAAGAAGTTTAATTTAAGAAGCTGAAGAATTTTGTGTTTAAAGCATCTTTACCAATCGGCATAGTTTCTAGAGGAACAGGAAACAACCATAACATTTAATAACTTAAAAAGTAGCAGGTCATTCAATAGAAATATGTTGGAACCAATCTGGGATTAAGAAATAGTACTTGGCTCATTAAGCTAAAGATCTGTCCACTCTAAGGCCTATCAAACAGCCAAATTCAGTAACTTACATCTTCTGTCACTGTTATTATGGTCAGATACTATTTAGGGGGAAAAAAAGCTAAGGAGATACCAATATATAGGGAATACCGTACTCTGATTATCCAAGACAAAACCAGGAGCAAGATTAGAGTCTGGATGAAGTGATATATAAATCGGAGAAACTAATTTCATTTTGGTGACAAGCCTGGCAGTGGTTTAAAAATAAAAAGTAAGGTAACACTAGGCAACATCACCTTGCAGTACGCATTCAGTCTTGAATATACCTACCTAACACTACAGTGTCCTTTCCCACAGAAATAGAAATAAATAGAGAGCGGTTATACAGAAGACAAGGGTAAAGAGAAGTAGCAAAACTGTTCCTATCGCTTGTAGATACAGGTATGAGATGCCTGGTGTGCACACCTCTAAACATCCTACTGACTCAGGAAGGCACCGGGAACTTCATTATCCAAAGAAGACAAAGTGGAACTGTGGAGACGACAAGCAGGCATTGCTTTAGGTCTGAGCGGGACTGATGACCTTTGGGCGATAAGGCTGTCCCGAGCCAGGTACGGCATCGGACCTCAACAACTAGAAAGTGTCAAGAGTGGAACAAGCTGTATCTGCAAGGAAGATAGTGTCATTACTAACTGAAACATATGATGGGATGCTGGCCTCGATCCTTTCTGTAATGGGCTCTGAAAGACCCTACGGAAGAGAACACCAGAAAATACCCAGTCCTTTCCTAAAAATCCAAGAGATGTGCTAGGTGGTGGGAAGGGAGGCAGTGGGAAAGAGAAAAACTCATTCTCTTTTCATTCACATGTATTGCAACAGGTTGTTGGAACAGTGTTCACCCAATGAATAATTCATGACAGTTAATTACTAGGACCATTATGTTCTATCAGCACCTAAAAACAAGGGATATAATCAAGAATGCTGATTGCTGTTGCTCCCAATTGAGATCAAGTTCCATTTTCTATAGGTGCACACAGGAACAAAGAAATTATTCAGTAAGGTTAAGTTAGAAATTACTTGTCCCTCTTGCTGGAATTAAGTCTCTCAGTGATTTTAAGAACAGTTATACATACACAAAAGAGAAAACTAAAAGAGGCAGCATGACAAAAAAAATGCGTTTTCTGCCCTATTACGTACCATTTTATTTATCATACTTAACAAAGCTAAACCTGTACAAGTTTGTACATATCACACTGAAAGAACTGTTCACTAGCTTAAAAAAAATGAACAAAACATCAGAAACATTAAACTTGATGATCCCTTTTGCAATTTTTGTGCAGTCAATATCAATATATCAGCTCAAAGCTTTTGGGAGAGATGAAAAAACCTTAACAATGGAAATTGTCAAGACCACAGTGCCACCTTTTGGGCCACCTGTGATTGGTACCAAGCTTGTATCCATAGTCATCTCAAATGCAAAATTCAAATTCTGCTATATAGAAATGTGAAATTACAGCCGTTAGTGAAGAATTAGACATTTAAACAGTAAAGATAAATTGGATCAAAACTACGTATACATTAAAGACATAAGTAAACATAAATGACTGTTTAATTCAAGATCACATTTTTACATAGGAGAAATATTACATTCCAATCTACTGGTATGGCTTTTTCCATGAACAGGTGGGCATTTTCAGATTTAAAAACCAAAACTGTTATTTGTATAAGAAAACTAGAAAATGTTAGTTATGTTAGGAAGAACTGATATCAAGAAATGAAAGTGAGATTAATGTGAAGTTTATAACATCAAGATAGACACCACTATGATTCAGCTTTGGAAGACACTTCACCTTCAATTTTATTTTTTGTCATAACTGTGGCAGCATATTTCTCCTGTGAACTTTCATCTTAGAACACTGAAAAATAAGGTGTCGCTTTTGTTTTTTTCATTCAACAGACTGAAATGACCCGAGCAAAGCAAAATTAAAGTTCAAAGACTAAAGAAAGCATTTAGCTGAACTCAGTTTTGGCTTGTGGACATGACATGCACAAAATTAAAAAAAATAAAATAAACAAACAGCTTTTGGTACTTATCCACAGTAAGCTGTAAGGTGATTTAATAAAAGACAGCTTAATAAAAGTGATCAGCTCACAATGAAACTGTACAAGCCATTAGTTCACATTTAAACAATAAATTTGATTGCAGTTTTGAGCACAAAAACATAACTTAAAATCCTACTTTATTCAAATTTGAAAAACTATATTGATTTTAAGTAGTTTAAATACATTCATTCCCAGTCAAAGTCTTACAGTAACTGATGATTTTCAATCACACACACAACCAAGTTATAAATCCCTGAAACATGGATTTATTATAGGAATACTGATAAAACCTTAACAGAGATACAAATGATACATCACATAGTGTCTTACACCTTAACGGTAAGTACTTGACTACCTTGGATTGGTAGATGCATCACTCCTACTGTTATACTCTAATACCATCCTCTAGGACCAACTGGTTTAAATTGAATTCACAACAGTTCGCAGTTACCTAAAAAAGATGATTTTTTTTTTTTAATCACACTACAAAATATTCATCTTCTAACTGGTATTTCAAAACTTCTGGAAAGAGAATTTCCCAGTTACAATGAGGACTAAACATACTAAGCAAGGAGAGTCATTATAGTGAATTTGAGAAAGTCATTTCAGAATCAGTGCCCCTGCAGAGACTTAGTATACAGCAGTACTTCCCTTGACATAAGTTAATTGGTGCATGTTTATCTGTGCATCTTAGGACTTTACGAGTAGATCTTGGGACTCTTGAAGTTAATCTCATTCTGGCACTAACTTTCTATGGGGTAGGGCAATTTCCAAATGAAAGGCACTCTATTATGAGTGAAGTCAGAATTATCAGCAATGCAAATGGACAACTTGTAACATCCTGAAGAGAACTGCTGTAGCCTACATGAGATCTAAAATTAAGTACTTCCCTTAAAAAAAGGTGGAAAAATATTTAGAACAGCAGTAGTGCATGTGTTTGCATGCACACAGACACTAGCCACTGTACAAGCAGAGATCTTCCAAGTATCTCAACAGTTGTTTGGTTTCTTTTTTTCCCCTCAGTGCTTTTTTTCACTTGGGCAGAACCAAGCTTCTAAGGTTCAACTGCACTATCAGGTGCAGAACAGCCCAGTGACCACCACTGCATTGCCTCCTGCAGCCCACAGCAAGCAGGTCTGGAGAGTAAGTTGCAAGACTGGTCCTCCCTAGCAGTACAAGAGCACAGGCACACACTACTAGTTTGTCCCACTTATTATTTCTCCACACACCTTTTCTCCCCACTCCCGACTCTTTGTTAAAAAAAAAAAAAAAAAAAAAAAGAAAAAGAAAAAAATTCATCTTAGGAATAAAGCTTTCCTTAAGGATAGGAAAACTCATGCTTGTTAGTCTGAATAAGGGATGTGCAAAACAGAAGTAATTTCCCTGAGGCAAAGATCTTCAAGTCATGCCTAGTTTACATTGTCTATTATTTCAAGCTGTTGAAATATTTGGCACAATGAGGCCTTGATCACTGACTGAGTCTCATGGCATTATCACAGTCTACATAATATAGTTAAATAATAAAGTAGAAGTTACAAATGCTTCATTCTCTCATTCTGTTTTCATTTCTCAGATTTACTCATTAAAATCCCTTTCCTTCTCGAAGGCGGCACTGGACCTCCTCGGCAGGAAGGTAGAGTGACAAACTTCTACTCTATTTAAAGGCTGCCATGAACACTGAGCACCTAAAAGGGCAATCGCAGTAGTTATTGGACTCAATACATGGAGTAACAGGGTAAAAATTAATAGCCTGTTATACACAGGTCAAAGGTAGGTGATCTCATAGTCTCTTCTTGAGTTACATTATGAAAAGCATCCAGGGAGATAAAAAAATTTCATGTTCTGAATGCTTCCAGTTTAAAACATGTAAGAAGCAAAGCTTGAAACTGAGTCTTTCCAGCTTTCCCTTTTAAAATATAAATTGCACTTTTTCTACAAAGCAATCCAAAGTCTAAATTTTAGTAAAAATTTGAAGCTGCCTTACTGTACCAAAGAGTATCTGTGTTCACCTCTGAAGTATAGGCATCTAATTTTCAGCCATTCTGCATATAGAGCCATATGCTCTACACCTTTCTGCTTTAAAAGGGCGTGTCATTAAATGCCATGCCTCTAGGTGGGTACTGAACAAAAAAGAAAAAAGAGTTTAAGGCCTTTATCTCCACAAGGAGCTGAAAACTGTGGCACAACCCATGACCAATACTTAATATGCAAATTCGCACACTCCCACCCAGGGCTCCAAAAATCAGTCGTTCTTTCTAATGTTTGTTACACAAGACAATCATACTATCAGCAAGCAACAGTGCCAGTTAAGCATTTTTAAGGTCTTCAAAAATTCATAGCAAAGGGCACTTCTGAGGAAGATAATCTTAAACATTTGGTTTTAAAAATAGACACCACACTCACATTCAAGGGACATTCTTCACTTTTAGGCCTTTGTCACAAATCTGAATCTTTATTGTTCTGAAATAAACACTATAAACATAAGACTCAAAACAAGAACTTCAACTTTCAGTCTCAGAAGAGGTGTGGTTCAATGCCCATATCGCGTGTAACAAGAAAATTTCCTTAAAAAAGGAAAAAAAAATTACTGTAAAGTCTTTCTTAAGAATGAAAATGCAATCCTTTTTTTTTCCTCATTACTTTGTGTACAGGCGGGCACCAAAAAAACTTTTGCATTTTCTTTTGAATTCTTGCTATGACGCTTGACGAACTTTTTGCCATTCAACAAATTCATCCAGAAGTACAGGCCCTGCAAATGGATGAAACTTGGAGTTATATTTGCCAATGTCTTTTAAACCTCTTCTCTGAAGAGTATGAAGGTTAAAACTATTGGTCTAGGTAACATCCATGTCAACCCTATGGTCAAATACTTATTAAGACTCAAAGATGACTACAATCATTTCAGTCCAAGTGTGGCAAAAAGTGCACAAATAACACAGAACTATGGAAAAAAGTGTTCCTGACATCCATAGGTGCACTGAATTGAACGGAAAACATAAAAATAAGATTATATTGTAAATTGGCACAACCAATTCCTTCTTCCTAGAGCCTTCAGAATTGCACATAATTAGAACATGGACGAAAATAGGATGCCAACTGCAATTCAGACCTAGCATGACTGGCTGTCAGCCAGGTATAGAGTTCAGCCCCAACTACCAGCAGCTAGGCTACTTTATAGTTAAACTAGAGTTTATTATGTATTAGTACAAAATGAGAGTTTGCTATTTATCATTCTATTTGCAAGCCTATAGTTTCACATAGCAAGCAGCTTCACTAGATCCTCAACTGAATATAAGTTGGCTCACGTACACCATCACACCCCTGACATAATACTAAAATTAGTATCTGCAGTTTGAAGATGGATGGTTATCAGGACACTTTTTTTATGCATTGTTGGAAAAGAAATATTTTATACTTTACAGTATTGTTTCTGTTACAGAAATTTGTTTTATGCAAATTCAAAATACTGAAATGATCGTTGAATAAGCAAAATGTTATGAATACTTACATGCACCATCTTCATCATAGTTGCTAAGATCTGCATGGACAGTTCTGCTGAACTCTAGCACATTGTACCACTGATCCTTGTTCATAACTCTATACTTCGATTGCTAGGAAAAAGAATTTCAGAACATTAAAATGTCAAGTGACATTTGGAAACGATGCATCTGGTGAAGGGTCTGGAGAATAAGTCTTATGAGGAGCAGCTGAGGGAGCTGGGGGTGTTTAGCCTGGAGAAGAGGAGGCTGAGGGGAGACCTGATTGCTCCTTACAATGACCTGAAAGGAGGTTGTAGTGAGGTGGGGGTCGGTCTCTTCTCCCAGGCAACCAGTGACAGGATAAGAGGGCATAATCTGAAACCGAGTCAGGGGAAGTTCAGGCTAGCAATGAGGAGGCATTTCTTCACAGAAAGGGTTGTTAGGCATTGGCATGGGCTGCCCAGGGAGGCAGTGGAGTCCCCATCCCTGGACGGGTTTCAAAGACTGGAGGTGGCACTTAGTGCCATGGTCTAGTTGACATGGGGGTGTTAGGGCAAAGGTTGGACTCGATGATCCCAGGTCTCTTCCAACCAAATCGATTCTGTGATTCTGATCTCATTTCTCTCATTTTATCTTCAGTTCCTAACAAACAATTTAATCAGTAACAACAGCTACTATTTCCTTCATTTTCCATTTTTAAAAATACTACACATGTACATATTTCATAGTTCTGAAACCACATAAAACAGTTTTGAAAGCAAAATCAAAATACCAGGGGATCAGGAAGTCTCCACTTTTAAGCTTCAAAAACTAGTAAATTTTCATCTTGCCCTGAAGCGGGGCAAACCTAGCTCAGATACATCTCCAGAATGAACGATTACAAAAAATCTTCTCTCCAGGCTACAATACAGTATGATCATAAGGACACCTACTTTGCAATGTTAGTACTTATTTGAAGCCAGGGAATACTCTCAAGCCTAGCATGCTCCACAGCCTACACATGTCCACATTACTAAGTCACTTGCAGCTGAGCTGACCAAAATTTTCCAGAGACAGCCAAAGCTCAAGGTACCTATACACTGCATCTACACAAAGCAAACTCGAAATTCAGCACAGATGCAGCTGAAGAGACTACTTGGGTGCTATTATTTAAACTTACCTTTATAGTCTAATCAAGATGGAATTTTAGTTGCCTTTGATAAGAGAAGGGGGGGTGGGGCACAGGGAGGGAGAAAAGGATCTGTGACGCATACAAGAACATCACTGTTTCAAAAGCACATCAAGCAAGGGAAGAGGAGCAATATGGATACATTCTTGAGCAAAACAACACAAACCCTGAAATCTTTTCACAGAACAGCCCACCTACTATGCCATCATTCAGAAAGTCAAGGAAACTTGTACCTCCAGGTATTGATAAAATACTGAAAACAGTGGCCAAGTTCTTCCAAGAAGAAGAGCTAACATGGATTTTGCAGTATCAATATCGAGACTTCGTTGGTCTTTATCCTAAGGTTGAATAAAGAAAGCACAAAAACTGTTCAAGTACAAGTTCGCTGAATAATTAAAATAAGAACTTCTCTAACATTCCAGTAGTCTTACCCTTGCAAAATCAAAGGCATATCTGTAGATATTCTTAAAGGATGAAATGTCATTCAATTGTGACCGCAAGAAGTCAAATTTACTCTGTAATTTTTCTGTACAGTCACACCTTAAAGAAAAACAAATGACGTTAGAAGTTCAAAACAAAACATCTGGACAATGAAAAAAATGCCAGCAAACATAAAAAAAAAAAATCAGCAAAATGCAATCATCAGATGCACAGGAGTAATACTATGAATGTGACTTAAAGAACACAGTATATGCTCAACATTTGCACCTTACTGAAATGATGAATGCCTGGCTTCTGTAAGCAAGTTTTTTAAAAATGTATCAGCAACAGAATACAAAGTCTCTGCTTTACTTCTCAAATAGTAGTCTTTTTATGCCATACTCTGCAATTGATATTCATTCCCAGTACTATCTTATCTTTCAATCACTATGAAAGTTTGGAGAAAACAGTATTTGGTGTGCATTAAGGTAGTAAAATCCAGCTGTAAATAACGGCTTTATGCCGTATCTCTTTGGAAAAAAACACAAACCCTAAAAACACACTGCAAGGCTACACATTTACAAGTGGCAGGATTGAGCAGACACTCTGCAAAACACAACAGTCTGCTGGTGTTTTATGATTGACAAATGCAAGCTCTGATAAGCCTATCACCTTGATTAGTCAGTAGTTATTCGACTGAAAACTCACAGGCTGTATAAGAATTTACAGGTCTGCTAGCTGACAGGATAACCCTTTGGCAAAAATAACCCTTTGGCAGAAAAGAAGATCTCCACATATTTTACTTAGCAAGAACTTTTGTTTCCAAATAGAAAATGGGTTAGATTCACCAACAATGGCAGAGCAGTATGTAACTTACACATGCTAATCCTCCAGGAAAGACTCACTCAAAAGAACAGTTGTTATATTTTATTGCATTTTTATTCTTATAAAATAATAGCTGCCATGCTTAAAAAAACCCCCACAAAACAATAAATTCCACCTTGCCCTGTATCCAGAAGCAATACTTTCAGAAATGCAGATGTACATAAATAGTTCCTTTGGTAATGTGCTCTCCCTCTGGCAGCCTGCCTCTCGGAATCCACGTGCATCTGTAACAGCTCCTTACGGACTTGTCCCAGCAGCCCGTCCGTCGCACGGGCCCTTCGGAAGACTGCAGCAGGTTGCTGAGATGCTGGACTCTGATGCCGTACTTTGCCCACAGCCGGTACTTGTTGTTCCTCAGGTCTGCTAGCCTGTGTGTGCACGTCTGTCTGTCTGTCTGTCCCTCTCAGGCTGCGACAAGAGAAATGCAGCAACTCCAGCTGATTTTGTTTTACTTGTCTCTAGCAGCATCTGCCTTAAGCAGCACTGAGTCCCAGTCAAGATCCATGCTAAATAAACTATTAGCCAATGAGGTTGCATATTCTGAAGACAAGAACTAATATATTTAGCAATAAACCATGCATTAAGTTGAAAAGAAGTGTTGTTAAAAAAGCTTTGGTAAATTTAACTAAAGATAAAATTACTTTTTTCATCTTCAGCCATTAATTGGTCTATGTATTCTACTGTTTAAACCTTAAAACAATATTAGGGTCTGCTACAAAGGCACCTCATTTTATATTCATCTCTATGTTCAAACCTTCATACTGCAATAACACTGTCCTCTACATTTGAGGACAAATCTACGTATTTAACACCTAACTAAATGCTCATGCTGTTAGTGTACTAACGATATATATAAACTACCTAAAGTGAGTTTACCACACATTTTGTCAACTATCATTTGACTGAGATTATTTACCATACCATGGACAAACACAAATTTCAGTATGTTTAAATTTCCTACAAAAATATTTTGTTAGAACTGTTCAAATAATCATAAATTTAAGTATAAAGTAAAATTCCTGTTATTGTTTACCGTACTATTGGCTATATGTATTTTAATGCAGAAGCGCTTCTTTTGAAAAAGTTGGTATCAAAATGTGCAATTATTAAGCCTCAAGACTTCTGAGCTACTGTCAACCTATTTAAAACCAGACAGTCAAACGGATCACGCTCTGCAGAGAGGCAGCACCCTCTGAAGCCCGATGCAGGGACATATTTCTATTAAAGCCATTTAAGGCATTTCCACACCTGGCCATCAATTTTCTTCACACTAGTGAGGTAAGGAGCTGTCTTTGATAGAGATATAGCTGCTTATGTGGCTGCCTCAAACAAGATGACTGAGGTCACTCATACTTAGAATATATCTTCCTAACAGTCAGAACAACCTTCTAATTAGCACAAGTGAATTGACACCAAAGTCCCATACAGAGACTAGAAGAAGATGTGATTTCTTGAACTGCTTTTACTGAAAGACAGCATTAAATAAGGTTACCTCAAGGTCAACAAAACTAGACGTTAGCTTACTACATCTTCTTCACATCCCTACACCACATTCATAACAAAATTTAGATTAGCACCACAAAGCAGTCCTATTTTGACTTCTATTGAGGTAGAGAGTTAATTTGAGGCATAGCTAATGTGGACAGCGTGATGATTCAACAACTCCTACTCAGATATTCCAGTGTTTCATATTTCATAATTATTTGCACATGCTTGTCTTTTACTAAAAAGAAAAATTATTAAGATGTATACAAACATTAAATCAAAAGCACTTAATAGTAGTATATAAAGCAATTTGAAGGTCTTCTCATCTAGAAAAGAGGTCCCCTGCCATCATCCAGCCCTCCAGATGGACGAAAGGAAATCATATCCATCTAGCCCATTCACTCTCTGCAACCATTGAAACAGGATCTTCTGAAATTCAGGTTCCATGTTATATCTGGAACACAGAGGTCCAAGGAAATATCACAGAGGTCCAAGCAAAACATCTTTTCTAAGTTATACTATGCTATAGTTTCACTCTGTCAATTGATTTACAGGTCTGCAGACCAGAAATTGCTTAGATTCCAGTACATATTGAATGCTATACTGGCATAAAAAAAGAAAAAAACCCCACAAACATTAACAGAAAGGCACTAACAAACAAAAAGCTCACTGGAAAAGCAGCTGATACTGGGCTATCATAAAAACAACCCAAATAAGTTGTTTTTATTAACAATTCTGCAAACAGCAAGAAGTTACAAACCTGACCTTCCCCTCCTCTCGCCTCCCTTCTCTTGTACCTAATAATGTGAGACCAGGACCTTATCTTTCCCTCAGGTAGAATCTAATTTGGCTCTCTCCCCTTTACCTGGCCACTCATTTTCAAAAGCTCAACCTTAATGTAAAATTTGGCTCGAATTCTAAGGTTAAAAAAAAAAAATAGCCAGAGGGAAGTAATCAGACAATACAGCTCCTTATGCTTCACTTCCTTACACACAAAATTCTTTGTATTTACCTAGTTCAAACAATGACTTCTGTGGAGTTTAATAAAATCATGAATTGTAATCCTTTCTCTTTCATGCTCATTTTGTAACTACATTTTTTTTTCTTTGTAACTCTGTAAAGCCTACAATTGACAAATACATGAGTATGCTTCTCCTTTAACTCAGATATGTAAAGTTAAATGCTCAACTCTAAGTTATTCACCCTTCAATGGCTCTAAAGCAAATGTAGATAAACAGTAATTTCCTGAGGGCTATTCATTTTAGCCTAAGGAGGTCTTTAAAATAGCTGAAATAAAGCCCAGCAGAGGTACTTGTTTCTCTCTGCTGACTATGAAAAGAGCTTCAGGTGATTAATTTAGATTGAGGCACCCAGCTTCCACATATACATATACACACACACACACACACATATATATAGGGCAGAACTCACCTTACCAACACAATATACTAGAAACCTCACTTCGCAGCTTAAGTTGTTTAAGTCTCATAAGCTGCTACTTAGTGCTTGATCCACCTTAATTCTGATAGTGTATATACCTTATCACATACTTATTTTTCTCCTCCTCTCTAAAGAACAAACTTCATCTGCATATCACAAAACCACACACAAAAAGAATGTCACTTCAAGATTCAGGCACCCAAATGTTGGCATCTAACTGTAGATTACATTTAGGTGCGTAAGCTTTAAGTGTTGCCATTCATAGAGGTCTAGTCAACCAACCCGTAAGAGCAATTCAGGTGACCAGTTAGCAGGTTTTAGGGCAAACTGAATAACTCCCTAGGCTCTAATATATTGACTAGATCTCCATAGATTGCAGCAAGAGTTTAAGAAATCCAGCTCTTGTATATAAATCACACATTTAAGTACCTTACTATGGAGCTGAATTCACCCAATCCTGCCTGTGCAATTACCTTATGTGACATTTCAAATATTTTTGAAATATGGATTCTGTAATATAACTCTGGGCTTTTAATGCATTTTCATGTCATTTCTTCATGCAAAAAAAAAAAATGCTGTGCAAGAATGTAATAATACTCTATCACTTTAAGAGTGTAAAATCCTTCTCCTTCAAAACTGCTGTCAAACCTTTCAAGAGAAACTAGATTCCCCCATTCCAGATGGAATCTCATAACACGATCCTTGCTTCCCAGTAAGCACAAACAGCACAAGTCTACAGATTTACACTCTCCTTTTAAGCCAATGAATCTTGAATTCCTTTACGTGAGTGTCACTGCTCCATCCAGCTGCTTAGCCTACAGACTGCTATTACAGCACACCCAGGGGAAGCAAAACACACAGGCTAACTGGTTTAGGCTTAGGCAAGTGCTCCTAGTCTGTTTATACAAAAATGCACAGCAGTACCATATTTTCTGTCTTAAACACATTTAGTCTACAGCATGACCAGCTCTGTTCTTAAAAGAACCAGAAGATTCCTAATTGCAGCAGATTATTAGAAACAGAGTCTGTAATATTGGGTCTGAAGAGGTGCCTGATTTCATACATCTTTGTGCTTGCATTCTGCTAGACTGGCTAACTCTTGAGAGCTTCCATTTGGGCATAAAAATCAAGTACTTCAGAGAAGTGACCAAATTATACCCATTCACTGCATCTAAAAATTTATGCACCCAGAATTTAATCACTGTCGTCCTGAATTTCAGGCAATTTAATCATTCCTAAAATTTAAGAACTTCTGATAGTCACAAAACAATCAAGGTGTTTAGCAGAAGCCTGATCCTAAATCAAGTAAGATTAGCACAAGAGAGTCAGGCCAGAGTCACTTACTTAGTCTCAACCAGAGGGTATCTGCCCAACACAATTCCCCAAACCAATTCACAACTGATACGGGAATTGTGCCAACTCCAAGGGCCAAATCAGCCCCTCTTTCCCACCATGCTGTAGCTGCAACAGCAGCTCCCTGACATTTTTAATATTGAATGCAGTGTCATAACAAGTCACCCTTAAAACATTCATGTACATATGTAGTTTTATGAAGAACAATCAAAAAATGACAACCGAACGAAGCCTGACGAAAGGCTGATTAGTTTAATGAAAGAAACAACCTCTTTAGGCAGAGCATTATCTCACTGAAAATCCTTACAAACAGAAGGAGCAAGAAATTTATTTATAAATTGAAAAAGTGTTATTTAATCTAAGCATGGCTTCTGACCTACATCTAATAAACAACATTAATAACCAAAATTATTATCAATGCAGTCCTCATCTATGAAGCTTTGAAATCAGTAAAAACTTTCTAGAATACCAGCACTGAGATATGCGCATGGGTATCTCCAGATCTACTTATTTGTGTCTACTAACCAGAGTGTTATTTTAACATATTTTTTGTAAGAAAAAGAAGCCACCAAAACCTGACTTATCAGGGTTAGACAAAACTTTATCATTTGAGTGAACTCATCAGGTGCACAACTCAATGAACGACAGTAGCTACTTCCAGTTGCTGACCGAGACCAGATCTAAAAGCCAGAGCTTCTGTGTCTTATTGCCAATGAATGTGAAACTGAGAGCAAGAATAATTAAGCTACTGGTACAAACATAAAATTAGAACATTCTATTATATATGTAAAACCACTCTTACTGTAATGAGGTCATTCCTTTTAACCATTCTTCCTTGGTAAAAAATCCCATGCTTTCAGCCTCTAGTTTCCAGGCTAAAACTAACATTATAATCTAGGGGAAAAAAAAAAAAAAGCAGGGGGAGAAAAAGGAGTCAGTATGTAAGAAAAGGCTGATTTCTAGATGTCCAAGAAGAAAACTCTAAGCATTCAAACGTTCTAGCAATTGTTGTAGATGCTTGCACTTTATATTTATTACCTTTTAATAATTCAGCCATGTGAAATCTTCCCCTTAATTTCAATTTCTGAAAATTTCTGAAATTACTATCACAAAATAAACAAAAAACCTCACACACCAGTCAAGCATAATTGATGTATTTAGCTGAAATATCTTAGAACAGCTCCTAAAAGCAGGAAAATAAAAAATCTTTTGCTTACTGAAGTTAAGAGTTTTACACAGAAATTAAATCTTATCCAATAACCCCTTTTAATGTGTTATTAGTATTGTGCAAGAAACCTACATTTTCAGGCTCAACACCGATGTCTTCACAGAACTTTTCCATTCCTTCAGGCCCCACAACTTCATCAGGACCTTCAAAACCAAAAGGAAACGAGACTGAAATCTAAGTAACATTCACTGCTCACAATGGTTACACACAACAACAATTAGACTATAGTGCATACAAGCTATCTTTAAAAACACTGAATTACACTATTAAGTAGCTTTTATGTTAGAACCATTCTATTAACTGCAATGTGGAGACATGTATGTTACATCTGAAGTAACACTATGAACTCAAAGCAAAACTAAACCAGAACTTTCATGTTGTGCACTGCCTCCTCACAACAGCAGACAAGCTATTTTAGTGTGTGTATGCAAGTTTTCAGAAGACTCCACTGAGTTTTCCATTGACATAGCTCAACTCCAATAATTGTGTTGGTCAATTTTTTTTAAGACAACTTGGGTACCGCTACTCTATGAATAATGTTCTTCAGAGTTATTTTATCAACAGTAAAAAAAAAAATTAAATCTGTCCAAGCTACTCTTCCAGATACCACTCTTTCAACGGTGTTAACATTATGGGTTTGCACTAACACAGAAGAGGATGAATCTTCAAATAACGTGAGGTTAGTTTTATGATGCCGAGTAACATGAGGAGAGTGACAGCAATAAATCAGAAAGATGCTAAGCATGTTAGTCATGTACAAAGCAGAAAAAGGTTTATGACTGTAATGAAAATAACTTGATTAGGACCACAACAGTTAGTGTTATGCTGTCACTCTTCCATTTTAACACAAAGAAAGCCTCTAAAAAGCAGCAAAATCACATATTTAAAGAGCACATACAGACACACTCTACAACGCCTTGTTTCTCTGAATCTCTCTCTGGTTTCTGTTATTTCTGCTAAGTCTGTTTCAAAAACGACTCCTACTGGGCAACCAAATATTATTTAGAAGGCCTGTGCCATGCTATTTTGATGTGTCCTGGATCATTATGTTAACATTGTTTTAGTGAATATGAACCCATGTGAAAGGTAAAGGCTTCATCTTCCAAAACAACATGCCATTTTACGAGTTTCTGGCAAAATTTGCTATTTATACATAGACAGAACACTCTTTTCCCCCCCCTCCTTGATGATACCTGTCTCCATCTGTATCCGCTGCTGTTATTGTAAGCAGAATTCTTTTTAAGAGTCTGGATAACGTACTTTGAATAATTACTCACTGTGATATAAGAACATAGTTTATAAAAACTACTGAGAATAGCTATCTTTACAGGAAAATAAAACACAACTGGCATTTAAGATCATGAACCTCTACCTCTTGAAAAATTTTGCAAAGAACATTTTGCCTAGGTAAGCAAGACAAAACACTGCTATCTGGTTTTGAGAAGCCCCTACATAGAATGTGTTAAAAAAATTGCAAATTTAAGTTATGAAAAGAAACACATACACTGGTAATGACAAGTATAAACTTGAATCCGTGTTTTTGGCCCAGAAATAATATGTACAATTCATATATATGTGTGTGTGTGTATAATTTTCTCTTTCAATGGAAACATTTAATCTCCTATGGCGTATAATTTCACTGGAATTCTATTTTATGCTAGAAACGTGGCATATTTTAATTACTGGTTAACTAACAAAGTACAAACTCCTACACTCAGTTCTTGACTCAAAAACAAAATCAAAATTTACAGGCCTTAAAAAAGCTTAAAGTATGCGCATGTGCATTTATCAGAAGAAAATTACCTGAGAATTATTATTTTCCTCAGAAAATACTCTTTACTCGAAAAGAGTATGCCTCAAACCTAAGTTAGAAAGCAGATTACTAGAATCTGGTGTAGCTCGTTACTGTGGAAAGACTGATAAATATACTCAAATCAATTGCTGGCAGATAAATCATCATCTGATTTCATACTCAGAACTGGCCATTAACGAGTTTTAATCACCAATTAGTTATGATAGACTTCAAGTAGTGACTAGGCAAGAAAAGAAATTAATAACGGTTTACAGATCATGATTTTCTAACTATATAATTGATACATAAATGGCAGTAGTAATCTAATATATTCTGCAAAATACACTGCATATTCACTGAAAGCAACTATTACTTGGATAGCGATTCTGATTTATTTCGAAGAGGCTACTTCTAACGAATATTTCATTCAAAAGTGATATTTAGAATATAAAAAATGTTAGGACAGATTCTCAGATAGGAAAAACCATATAAGCATCTATTATACTACTTTGTAAAATAGAAAACCAAGGGGCTTAAATCATAAAGTATTTCATTATCCTTCCAATTTGATTATAAACAAGATCTAGTTAGATAAACTTCTGTCTAAACTATCTGTCAGTGTCCTGACTTCTACTTGTCCATTTCAAATCAAGAAGTAGAATCATTCGGTATATCCTGGTCCAACATCAGTTATTTCATTTTAAAGAATGACATGGTAGAAAGCACAGAATAAAGAAGAATAAGTCAGAAAGAAGAAATACTGAAAAGGTGATAGTAAAAGCCATACTAATTCAAGTGCATTTTATAAGGAAGCAAATATGGACATATTTTTTATGTCTACATCAGCATAAAAAAAAGGAAAATGTAACTAATATTTGATGTATTCGTTTGTTTTAAACAAAATCATATAGTTTTAAATATGAATCCATTGCATATTACCTGCGTATTCATAAAACCAAGCCAGGCACTTTTTGCTTGAAAAATGTTCCTCTCCACTTATTACTTTACCAGAGGCTTGTGATCTGCAATAGCTTATAGAAACATAAGGATCAGAAGTGTTATTTTAATATGAGACATTTAAATTTAAATTCCAAATTGTTTATTATTAGTTCAAACTATTTAAACTGTTTCACGAAGTCAATATACATGAACAAAGAAGCTGAATTTGTTAAAAGGCAACTGCCTGTCAATCTATTTCAACACTCGTTGGAACATAAAATTACCTTGAAATACAACCCTTTCATAGCCCAATTTATTGCAACTATTACTTTTTCTGAAATGCAAAAGTACTCTTATCTTGTAGATATTAATCCAAAAAAACCCCACATGCAGATGGTCAAAATACCACTACTCAGTAATTCAAATGCCTTATTATCTACTTATATTTATACCGGCATTTAAAGTTAGGTCTCTAATAAGCAGCATGATCTTCAAGAGTGCTGAATATGCACAGATCCCATTTAGGTCAACAGGAGCTGCAGAGTTTGCCATGTTTAAAAGTCAGGCTATTTATAGTTAAGCATCCAAATTCAGGAAGAAAACTCGGTCGATTTGTTTATATCAAACATGTAACTAAATATCTGTATAATTCTATAGATGTTTCGTGCACATACCAGAATAGTAATATGCAATCTATGGTAAGACTAAAACTGTTCAGCACACGCAGCTTCCCCCCACAACATTGTCTTCATTATGCGACACACAACCCAGTTTGCCTAGGAGGTGAATTTTCATAATTTATCATTCTTTAGAAGAATACATGGAATAACTGATTTCTTCCAGTGAAAACACTGACCACATGAAAGCATCTTCAGTCAGTAAGGTGTTGCAGCACCTTTTCAACGCATACTCCTTTCAAATACAAGTCACAGACTTTTAGAACAAGCTAAGATTACTTCTAAGAATGAGGTGGAAGTTAATCACATGAAAGGATTTAAAATTATGCAGTTCCTACACTGCGATTTTAAAATGAAAACATCATGCAGGAAAAGAATAGTTCAATTCTGAGAGGTGGTGAACAACTTTATCTCCCATGTATTACTTTAAGCTTCACTGGAAAAGAAAGCAACGTTCTCCAAGATGAAGCCTTATGTGCTGAAAACTAGAATTAAAGATGTACTACAGACAAATATCTATTAAACTGCCATTAAAAACACAAGTCACCAGAAAGAAACAGAGCCATACAATATGCTATTGCTTGTTGGGTTTACCCAGTTTAACATACATCCGTTTGTAACCACTGGTTTTATTAAAGAATATTACCAATATATTGCTACATAAGAATGTTACGTCAAAAATGCTCACGTATCTAACATTTTGTGATCAGCTAGCATAAACTTTCATTTACATCATAGTTTTTGCCCGAGGACTACTAGCTTCCTGTAGAGGTTTTTTTTTTTTAAGGAGCTTTCAAAAGATTTTTTTTTGAAGTAAAAGAAATTAAGATCATAAAGTTTTGGTCAGCAGTGTTCAAGAAAGATGAACTGAAACTGGAACAGATGCAGAGAAGAGCTGTGATGAGCAAGGAAACTGAAAATTGGTATTACAAACCAGATAAATTTAGGTATTTAATTTAACAAAATAAAGTATGAGAAAACACAAGCGCTCACTGCAATTACACTATGAGGCAGAACCATGAGGCAGGAGTGCTATATAAAGGACAATGCAGGCATAAGAACGGTTATGAACTGGCTATGAATAAATTTAGACTGAAACTAAAAGGGTCATTAACGACCGCAGAAAGTGAGTTCTGGACAAATCATCCAAAATGAATATTCATAAGAAAATAAAAGCCTCGGTACTTCTAAGCTCAAGCCCGGTCAACCTATGAGAAAGGCCACACGCCACAGTTTCTTGCAACAGCCATTCCCGTAGCATTGATTTCGTAAGTCCTTTGTATTCTTATGTCCTCAGGATGTTTGTCGTAACTACTGGTTTACTGACATACTTAACAAGTTCTGACAGATGAAGAAGGCATACAGTTACTTCAGGGAAGCCACACTGGAAGCTCCTGCTACATCATACTAATGGTTTATCATTCTAATGGTAACTTTCGGGTATCACAGCATAAGTGGTCTTTTTATGGCAGTTAATGTTCAGACTCCTGTATTTATTAGGAAAACCCTTCCTGATTTCGTTTTGGAGTGTATTGACCTTTCCTTTCACTTCACCGAAAAAAAAAAAATACCCCACAATTTAACGTAGACACTCTGAGTATTAAAACGAGGAGAGCTGTCTACCTCGGGCAAAAGGTTAGAACGAATATGGGGACAAACGCTGGAACGGGCCCTCCTGGCACAACAACAGGCAAAACCAGCAGGGAACGGGAGCAGCTCGGTAGCGTTTCTCCCCTGAAGTGTGCACAAGGCGAGGGCAGACGCTGCACCCCCCGCCAGCCGGACGTGCCCACCG